CCATCCAGCCCAACCCCCTGCCAGAGCAGATCCACCCAGAGCAGGTCCCACAGGAACGTGTCCAGGTGGGTTTGAATGTCTCCAGAGAAGGAGACTCCACCACCTCTCTGGGCAGCCTCTGCCAGGGCTCTGCCACCCTCACAGGAAAGAAGTTCCTCCTCATGTTGAGGTGGAACTTCTTATATTCAAGTTTGTGCCCATTTCCTCTTGTCCTGTCCCTGGGCACCACTGAAAAAAGCCTGGCCCCATCCTCCTGACACCCACCCTTTAACTGTTGCTCAGCATCAATGAGGTCCCTTCTCAGTCTGCTCCTCTCCAGCTGGACAGCCCCAGATCCGTCTCCTCAGCAGAGAGATGCTTCATTCCCTCATCATCCTCATCGCCTCTGCTGGACTCTCTCCAGCAGTTCCCTGTCCTTCTGGAACTGGGGGACCCAGAACTGATCCCAGTGCTACAGATGGGGCCTCCCCAGGCAGAGTAGAGGGGCAGGATGACCTCCCTCCACCTACTGGCCACACTTTTCTTAATGCTCCCCAGGATGCCATTGGCCTTCTTGGCGACAAGGGCCCATTGCTGGCTCCTGGGCAACTTGTTGTCCACCAGGACTGCCAGGTCCCTTTCCAGCCAGTCATCTCCAACCTGTACTGGTGCAGGGAATTATTCTTCCCTGGGTGCAGGACCCTACACTTGCCCTTGTTGAACTTCATGAGGTTCCTCTGGGCCCAGCTCTTTAGTGTGTCCAGGTCATCTCTTCAGCTGCTCAGCTGAATTTATTGTTCAGTGGGAAGACTGAAAACAATGGGCAACCCCCAGAAAGAGGTGGAATTTAAAACATGCTTGTAGAACTACGAGAGTATTTTATTGCCTTGCAAAAGCTGGGCATGTTTTCCACCCCTGCAGGATCTTCTGGGGTGGGTGGCCCTGGCTGCAGAGCAGGGTGAGGTCTGTGCCCTCGGTCACCGTGGGCTCCATGCCGTGGGCAAGATGGGAGCAACCAGTGGGATCGTGGCAGTGACCAGGTGGTGTTGTCAGACTCTTTAAAACAAATTAAAATAAATTGAAAAGACGTGTTTGGGAGCCATGGCCACCCAGCGTGGGATCCGAGGTCTGTGTGGGGCAGGTCCCAGCTGAAGGGACTGGAGAAGACTTTGTTCACCTCCTGGGACATGAAGCACTGAAGCTTCAGGGCCAAGTGATGGTTTGGGGAGCTCGTGGAGCAGCACCAGACAGTCCCAACCTACTTTCTCTGGGCCATTCATGGCCTTTAGTATTTTTTTCTCCCATTCATCTGCTTCCTAAAATAATCCCAGTTACTCAGCATCTCTTCCAGGGAGATTTTCCAGGCCCTCGGTCATTTTCTTTACCTTCTCTGAACTATTGGAGTCTCCACGTTCACCATCCTGGTGCTTCACACAATATTCCAGTTGTGACCATGGCGCCCAGGACATCAATCCCCACTCTGGTCTCTACCACACACAAATGCCTTGCTTTTTTTCAGCTGCCTCACCTGTTTGTGCCAAGATCCACCCCGAGCTGTCTAAAATCATCCTCAGTTACTTTTTCTGAGTTGGTGCTGTTAATTTAAAGCTGTCATCGAACTCTCCAATCTGCGTTTCTTGCCTCTCTCTGCTCTGAGCTTCCCCACTCTGCTGCCTCTTGGCTGAGGATATCCAACTTCTCCTGGTTTCACCTGGGAAAATCCTATTTATGTTCATCCACCTCATCGCCTCTCACCCTTCTCTGCCCTTCTCAGCTGATGGGTAAATCCCTCCGTGGCTGCAGGATAAATCCCTCCTGGCTGTGGGATAAATCCCTCCTGGCTGTGGGACACCGCTGGCTCCGGGTTTGCCCCAGTGACAGATACTTCTACTTTGCATCCTACTTTCTCCCTCGCTTTTCACGGAACTTGTGACTATTTGGTACCTGGTGTCTCGGGGTGTCTGGAAGCCTAGATGATATCAAATGCTCTCCTTTGGTGTAGTAGATCCTGGGAAAATTAATTAACACATTAATTAATGAGATGCGTGTTTCACAGAATCACAGAATCTTCTAGGTTGGAAGGGACCTCAAAGATCATCTTGTCCAACCGTCAACCTAACTGACAAAAATAGACACCCACACAACAAACAAGGAGCATCATCACTAAACCAGACCTCCCAGCACTACATCAACCCATCTTTTGAACACCTCCAGGGATGGGGCCTCAACCCCCTCCCTGGGCAGCCCATTCCAAGGGCTGAGAACCCTTTCAGTGAAAAAATTTTTCCTAATATCCAGCCTGAACCTCCCCTGGGGCAACTTGAGGCCATTTCCTCTTGTCCTGTCGCCTGTGACTTGAGAAAAGAGACCGACCCCCACCTCTCTACACCCTCCTTTCAGGGAGTTGGAGAGAGCAATAAGGTCTCCCCTCAGCCTCCTCTTCTCCAGAGTTTCCTTTATGAAAACCCTCTTGCTGGAGCCCAACGTTACCGGCAGCCTCGGAGAATATTCGTGATGGTTGTGGTGGGACAGGGGTAATTGAAATGATCAGTGTTTGGAAAGGAGATAGGAATAAAGGCATGATCCCAGGGTATAAAATGCTTCTCTGGAGAGAATATCATTTTGTTTCCTGCCATAACATGATCCTCCCACTTGTGTTTTTGTAAATAATCACACAATAATTCCATAAGGTGTGGAATGGTGGTTTAATAGCGTCAGTCTTCCCGGATCTTCCCCAGATCAGATGTTACTGTGAAGGTACAACATTTAGTATCTTGTATCCTTCGAATTAATACATTTTTAATAAACCATTGTATATTTTTACAATAATTTTCCAGAGATGCTAATGTGGCATTTGACAGCAGTTTTGGTGATTTAATTTCTCGGGTACTGCAGGGATGCTGTTGCTACAGACTTGACTGGTGGCAAAAAATAAACATGAATTCAGAACTTCAGAATACCTAAAATTTAAGGAAAATTATATCATTATATGACTGCTGTATCTGGCTTGCTGCTGGGCCGTGGCTGTTACTTTACATAAATGCTTTGCTTAAATAATGTGTTCTCCCATTTCTCTTACTGCATAGACACTGGAGGCATGAACAACACACTGGGACACGGGGCTGTGCACAGGGCTGTTTTCAGCTGTACTTGCTGAGGGGTTCACATAGTGCCCTCTTCCAACAGATAATTTTTACCTTTTCAGAACCATTACGTATAATTGATTTTTTTTAAAAAAGAAAGCTTTAGGGTTGAGGCACACAAAACCCCAAAGTCCCGCTACAAGATGGAGCGTGTTTTCCCCCCACATCAAGCCCCCAGCTGTGCGAGCGGTGCCTCAGGTGGTATCTCAGAGTAGGATTTTGAGTTCAAATGAAAGGGAACCAACTTCTTGTATTTGCCTAAGATCATTCCAGGAGGGCTGGACCATCTCTCTACAGATAATCACATGGGGTTGGAAGGGACCTCTGGAGACCATCCAGTCCAACCCCTGGCCAGAGCAGGTCACTCAGAGCAGGTCCCACAGGAACGTGTCCAGGTGGGTTTGAATGTCTCCAGAGAAGGAGACTCCACCACCTCCCTGGGCAGCCTCTGCCAGGGCTCTGCCACCCTCACAGCAAAGAAGTTCCTCCTCATGTTGAGATGGAACTTCTTATGTTCAAGTTTGTGCTCATTTCCTCTTGTCCTGTCCCTGGGCACCACTGAAAAAAGACCAGCCCCATCCTCCTGACACCCACCCTTGAAGTATTTATAGGTGTTGATCAGATCCCCCCTCAGCCTTCTCTTCTCCAGACTAAAAAGCCCCAAGTCCCTCAGCCTCTCCTCATAAGGGAGATGCTCCAGGCCCCTCTTTGTAGCCTCTTTGTACAGCCTTTGTAGCTGTACCCTCTCCCGCAGGTCTGTGTCCTTCTTGAACCGGGGAGCCCCAGCCTGAGGACACTCCAGCTTGGTCCTTCTCCTGCTGACCAAGAACTAACCTTGCCTTCCTCCCACCAGCTGGTTGCCTGGGTCCCAGTGTTGAGGCTGAGCTCTCCTGGGCTCCTTTTGGCCTGTTCATTCTCTCCTGAATAGAAAGGCCAAGAGGAAATGGCCTCAGGTTGCACCAGGGAAGGTTTAAGATGGATATCAGGAAACATTTCTTCACCATAAGGGTCATTAAGCCTTGGCAAAGGCTGCCCAGGGCAGTGGTGGAGTCGTCATCTCTGGAGGTGTTTGAAAGCTGGGCAGACATGATGCTGAGGGACATGGGTTAGTGGTGGTTTGGGCAGTGTTGGGTTGATGGTTGGACTTGATGATCTCAAAGGTCCCTTCCAACCTCAATGATTCTATGATTCTATGATTCTTCCTTCTTGTGGAATGGCACAACTTCAGCAAAATCGGCAGAGCGTGCCCGTGTTCAGCTGATGGGTACCTCCATCCACCAACGGGCTTGGGAAGGAACGGTGTCTGCATTTCCCACTTCTTGGAGGAGTTGCTTAGTTACGGCCAAGGCACCGGGTGTTTTACAAGAGGGAAATGGGATCTGCTCAAATTTAGGATGGGCCAAAGCATCTCTTTCAAATACCTCAAATCTGGACTGTCACAAACCCTGGTGACCCCCTCTTTGGCTCTGCGGGGCAGGTCTCCTGCCTCAGACAGAGGGGGACAAAGGCATGTACAGAATGTAGGAACAACAGCCATCACCTTGGCCTTGGTGTCTGCCAGGGTCGGGTGGAGTGTTCCTGGGGAAGTGTCTGTCCCTTCTTTGAGGCCATGGACTTGCCCAGGTTGCCCCAGCCCTGCTCGATGCCTCTGGGAATGTTCCTTCTCCAAGACTCTGCGTTTCTCTCTTTGTAAAAAGGGATTTGTGGGCTCCATCTTTGCTTTTCACTGTTTCGAGATCTGTGGAGAAGACCTGTTTCGAGATCTGTGGAGAAGACCTGTGTAAGAGCTGTGGGAGTTTTGCATGTTGACTCCTGCGTAGTTTCATTCCGCACGGTCTATGCAGTGATCAGTGGGACTGAAAATTTGCTTCTTTCCAGGTGAATCGCTTTAATAAGGTGGAGGACAGAGCCATCTTCATTACTGATCGGCACCTGTACAAGATGGACCCCATGAAGCAGTACAAGGTGATGAAGACCATCCCCCTCTATAACGTAAGTACAGGGACGGAGGGATCCCATGTCGGGCTCTCTGAGTCGTGGGCAGTGCATCTGCTCTTCAGCTCCATTTTCATATCCATAACATGGAAAAAGACCTCACTTTACAAATTTTAATATATTTCATAGACTCATAGAATGGTTAGGGTTGGAAGGGACCTCAAAGATCATCTAGTTCCAACCCCTCTGCCCTGGGCAGGGACACCTCCCACTAGAGCAGGTTGCTCAAGGCCCCATCCAGCCTGGCCTTGAACCCCTCCAGTGATGGGGCAGCCACAGCTTCTCTGGGCAACCTTCTCCAAGACTCTGCATTTCTCTCTTTGTAAGAAGGGATTTGTGGGCTCCATCTTCGCTTTTCACTGTTTCGAGATCTGTGGAGAAGACCTGTGTAAGAGCTGTGGGAGTTTTGCATGTTGACTCCTGCGTAGTTTCGTTCCGCACGGTCTTGCAGTGATCAGTGGGACTGAAAATTTGCTTCTTTCCAGGTGAATCGCTTTAATAAGGTGGAGGACAGAGCCATCTTCATTACTGATCGGCACCTGTACAAGATGGACCCCATGAAGCAGTACAAGGTGATGAAGACCATCCCCCTCTATAACGTAAGTACAGGGACGGAGGGATCCCATGTCGGGCTCTCTGAGTCGTGGGCAGTGCATCTGCTCTTCAGCTCCATTTTCATATCCATAACATGGAAAAAGACCTCACTTTACAAATTTTAATATATTTCATAGACTCATAGAATGGTTAGGGTTGGAAGGGACCTCAAAGATCATCTAGTTCCAACCCCTCTGCCCTGGGCAGGGACACCTCCCACTAGAGCAGGTTGCTCAAGGCCCCATCCAGCCTGGCCTTGAACCCCTCCAGTGATGGGGCAGCCACAGCTTCTCTGGGCAACCTGTTCCAGTGCCTCACCACCCTCATATTTAATGTCTTTAAAACACCTTTACTACCGTTACCTACAACACTGATGCATCGTGTTAACTTTTAATTTCAGTACATAAAATAAAAGCTAAAACCCAAACTGTTTCTCATTCTCTCTTCTGCTCTGGCTCCTATTTTGATTTATACTTGCTGTGCGCCGCGAGATCTTGGCCCCACCAGGGGGGTAGCATTTCCCAGCAGCTTACGACACGGTTTCTGTGTCTCTGGGGGTTTCTATTTGTTCATGTTAAATGTAAATCTTATCAAAGCTAAATTTGGAATTATAGTGAGGTCTCTGGCCTTCGGGGGGGCAGAGATTGGCTGCAGGGACAGAGCAGGGGATTAGCTCCGGTGGGAAGGGGCTGGGGGAAAGCCTCATCCGAGCTCTCCAGCATCCCTGAGCGTGGATTCAGCTGCCTGTTTGTTTTCCTCTATTTAATGTCTTTAAAACAACTTTAGTACAGTTACCTACAACACTGATGCATCGTGTTAACTTTTAATTTCAGTACATAAAATAAAAGCTAAAACCCAAACTGTTTCTCATTCTCTCTTCTGCTCTGGCTCCTATTTTGATTTATACTTGCTGTGCGCCGCGAGATCTTGGCCCCACCAGGGGGGTAGCATTTCCCAGCAGCTTACGACACGGTTTCTGTGTCTCTGGGGGTTTCTATTTGTTCATGTTAAATGTAAATCTTATCAAAGCTAAATTTGGAATTATAGTGAGGTCTCTGGCCTTCGGGGGGGCAGAGATTGGCTGCAGGGACAGAGCAGGGGATTAGCTCCGGTGGGAAGGGGCTGGGGGAAAGCCTCATCCGAGCTCTCCAGCATCCCTGAGCGTGGATTCAGCTGCCTGTTTGTTTTCCTCAGCCCGAGGTGACGCTGCTGCCGTTATCTTCATCCCACAGAGCCTGGCTGGGCTGCGTGGAGACGTCCTACACAGATTTGTTGGAACATTTACATTTGGAGAACTAATAAATCTGGCAGCCCCATATTGCTAAAGGAGCAGAGATTGGGATTAGGGTAACGGTAAAATCTAACCTGTGAATGAGGAGTGAAGGGTTAGCTCAGGGTGTCTGTCATGTTGGGTTTGTGGGGTCCTCTCCTAACCTCCTTGCAGGTCATCCACCGCAGGGTGAGTGTGGGGTCACCTTGATTGCGGTCCCTAACGAGAGTGTGGGCTGTAGCAAAGAAGCATCTCCACAGCAGGGGCTCTGCTTTCCAAAAGACTCTGATGCCTGGAGGTCCTTTTGGACCAACTTCCAGGTCCTTTTCCTCAGTCTGTTTTCTGTTCTATAAATACTCAAAGGGTGGGTGTCAGGAGGATGGGGCCAGGCTTTTTTCAGTGGTGCCCAGGGACAGGACAAGAGGAAATGGGCACAAACTGGAACATAAGAAGTTCCATCTCAACATGAGGAGGAACTTCTTTCCTGGCAGAGGCTGCCCAGAGAGGTGGTGGAGTCTCCTTCTCTGGAGACATTCAAACCCACCTGGACACGTTCCTGTGGGACCTGCTCTGGGTGGCCCTACTCTGGCAGGGGGTTGGACTGGATGGTCTCCAGAGGTCCCTTCCAACCCCATATCATTCTGGGATTCTCCTGACATTATCTCTTAATTGTGCCAGACAAAGGTGCCAGCAGATCACGCTGCTCTCGCTTGTGCAAACTGACGTGTTCAAATGCACAGACTCCCTCAGGGTGTTTTTCCTGGAACCCCAGGGTTTTGTGAAGGGTCGAGGTGAATGCACGTAGACAAAGTGGAATTTTGTCCCTCACAATTTTTCAGTATTGGTTTTCTGAGCTGTTACCTTGTACAAAATGGTTAGGCTGCTGCAGTTCACTTGCTGCACTAGTAATTATGGGTAAATCTGTATTTATCACAGCTTTGGAAAAATACCTGCTTCAGCTGGGTGTGTGATGGGTTTAAAGGTGGAGCACAGACCAGGGCACTGATCATCTGACCTTTTGCCTCTGAAATCCTTAAAAATTATAGGAGCCGAGCAAGTCAGATACAATTTGTAGGTTGCCTATAGAATATCTGTTACTTAGAAATGTTAGTAATTTTTTTTTTTTACACAAAACCGATGTCTAACCAGAGTATCCACTCCCAGAGAGTGCTGTAGTGCTGGGTCTCTGTATTTCCTCTGGCAGCAAAACAGTTAATGGTCTGTGCATCCAGGTCTCGTGCTCTTAGAATATTTAAATAGCTATAAATCGGCTTTATTTGTAGATCTGCTCTTACTCCCTTTAGCAACCCAACAGTTCCCTTCACCTGAGCGGCTCTGGGGGGGTCCTGCAGTACGTGGCACAGGAGGGATGGCTCCAAAAGCCCCTTCCCTGCCTTGCACAGGGGGCAGAATAATATTCCAGGGTGGAAATTTGATGAAAGCTGTCTTGGGTAGATGATGCAGGGATAAATTTCTGCTCTCTTGGCCACAACCTCTCCTTTTATCTGCTTCTCCTGCGCTGTGGTCCTGGGGAACACGAGGAAATCTGCCCGTGGTGCTCTCCCATCGATTTGCAGAGGGAGAGGAGGAGTTTGGAGACGTGGTTGGTTCACATGCAGCAGAGGAAATATTTGTATTTCTTTGGCCAGGATTTCTTCAGCTGAACTCTGGCGAAGGGTTAATGCTGTATGGCAGTTGTTTTTCCCTTTTTGTAGCTATGCCTTATCTTTTGTTGCTTAATGATCTGAATAGGTGTTGTCTTTCACCTCTTGAGTGGCCTTGCTCATTTGCCTCTGCTTTTCTGCAGCCTGATCCCTCCTTGGGTGGAAACCCCTTTGCAGTGTGCAGGGAGGGGGTGGAAATAGACAATTAGTGATAAAGTGATTCCTTGCCTTTCAGGGGAAGAGCAGTTATTTGACCTGATGCCTGGGTCAGGGCAATCCCAGGCACAAATCCAGGCTGGGGGCAGAATGGGCTGAGAGCAGCCCTGAGGAGAAGGCCTTGGGGGTGTTGGTGGGTGAGAAGCTCCACACGCCCCTCAACGTGCGCTGGAGCCCAGAAACCCCCCGCACCCTGGGCTGCATCCCCAGCCCCGTGGGCAGCAGGGCCAGGGGGGGATTCTGCCCCTCTGCTCCGCTCTGGGGAGACCCCCCCAGTGCTGCCTCCAGCTCTGGGGCCACCACCAGCAGAAGGACATGGAGCTGTTGGAGCGGGGCCAGAGGAGGCCCCGGAGATGCTGGGAGGGCTGGAGCCCCTCTGCTGGGAGGGGGGGCTGAGAGAGTTGGGGGGTTCAGCCTGGAGAAGAGAAGGCTCCGGGGAGACCTTGGAGCCCCTTCCAGTCCCTCAAGGGGCTCCAGGAGAGATGGGGAGGGACTCTGGATGAGGGAGGGGAGCCCTAGGAGGAGGGGGAAGGGTTTGACCCTGCAAGAGGGGAGATGGAGCTGAGCTGTGGGGAAGAACTTGTTTGGTGTGAGGGTGGTGAGAGCCTGGCCCAGGTTGGCCAGAGAAGCTGTGGCTGCCCCATCCCTGGAGGGGTTGAAGGGCAGGTTGGAGGGGGCTTGGAGCAACCTGGTGTGGTGGGAGGTGTCCCTGCCCAGGGCAGGGGGTGGCACTGGGGGGGCTTTAAGGTCCTTTCCAACCCAAACCACTCTGTGATTCTGTAAGAAGCAAGTGTGTAATAGCTCCACCAGCTGTGATGTATGTCTGTGTATCAGTATGTCCCACTAGAAGGATGTGTGTAGCAAGTGTATAATAGCTCCACCAGCTGTGATGTATGTCAGTCTATCAGTATGTCCCACTAGAAGGATGTGTGTTCCCCGGGACGATGGATGGTCCTCCTGGTGGGCAGAGGTGTCTCCAGATGACATGGGCTGCCCTGGGCTCTGCTGCTCGCCCTCAGCCTGCCGACAGCACCCCATCGCTCGGCAGCATCCTTGGGGATGGTGTTTCCATGGAAATCTTGTTGGAGACAGCTGATGTCTGTTACCACCAGAAGCTTGGTTTTGGCTGAAGAAATCGCTCCATGGTTTCCCATCTCCTTTTACATATAAATGGTTTAAGTGTAACCCTTATAACCCTTAATTATAACCTGCCCACGCGGGTTCCAGCCTCAGCACCTGGGTATCTTGTGTCCCGTGTGCGGGATCTGTGATGTGCAAATGGTGACACAGCAAAAATGTCCCTTTCAGCCCCATTTTGCTGGATTGAGACGCTGCTTTGGGGGCTTCTCTGTGTATGAACTTTCTGGGAGTTGCCTCAGAAGTACCAATATACAATTGTCCTTTTTTTTTACCTGGAGAAAAAATAAACACAGCATGGCAGAAAGGAATTAAAAGGCAGAAAGGATCTTGGGATCACCTTTCCCAGTATTCCCAGCGTTGTATCCCAGGTGGATACAATCCAGGATGTTCTCCGGATGCTGAGCGTTTTCTCCTGATCTTCAAGCAGAGCTAATATTAGTGTTTGTAAATACTGAGATAAGCACCTTCTCTGAAATGATTTCTTTTGTGTTCTATTTGTTTGTTCTGATAGTCTTGTGGGGAGGGGTGTAATAGGCAAATTTTGAAGGGCTCTCAGAATTCTAACGTGCTTCTCTTGAATAATTAATGTTTTAAATAGGCTTTTCAAATCCAGAGATTTCGACGTGCTCACCGTTCACACTCAGCGCACATTTAAAATCGGGATGGCAGCAGGTCCCTGTGGAGCTATTGTGCTCAGGGGATGTTATTTAAGCATGCAAATTAATTTTAAGGGACACTATAAACCCAGGCAGCCGTTAATGTCTTTGCATGAAGTGTAGCTTGTTTTTAAAGTATTTCATAACCTCAAAATAGTCTGAAGCCCACCGTGGTGGGACAGGGAAGCGGAGGTCCCTGCTCAGGGTTTCAGCTCTCAGGGATTCAGCCCGACTGTTGTCTGGTGGGAAGAAGCCAACAAAAAATGAGTGATTCTAAACTTGTGTGGTGTTTTATCCAGAAAATAGTGTTGGTTGTGACTTCTCTGTGTATGAACTTTCTGGGAGTTGCCTCAGAAGTACCAATATACAATTGTCCTTTTTTTTTACCTGGAGAAAAAATAAACACAGCATGGCAGAAAGGAATTAAAAGGCAGAAAGGATCTTGGGATCACCTTTCCCAGTATTCCCAGCGTTGTATCCCAGGTGGATACAATCCAGGATGTTCTCCGGATGCTGAGCGTTTTCTCCTGATCTTCAAGCAGAGCTAATATTAGTGTTTGTAAATACTGAGATAAGCACCTTCTCTGAAATGATTTCTTTTGTGTTCTATTTGTTTGTTCTGATAGTCTTGTGGGGAGGGGTGTAATAGGCAAATTTTGAAGGGCTCTCAGAATTCTAACGTGCTTCTCTTGAATAATTAATGTTTTAAATAGGCTTTTCAAATCCAGAGATTTCGACGTGCTCACCGTTCACACTCAGCGCACATTTAAAATCGGGATGGCAGCAGGTCCCTGTGGAGCTATTGTGCTCAGGGGATGTTATTTAAGCATGCAAATTAATTTTAAGGGACACTATAAACCCAGGCAGCCGTTAATGTCTTTGCATGAAGTGTAGCTTGTTTTTAAAGTATTTCATAACCTCAAAATAGTCTGAAGCCCACCGTGGTGGGACAGGGAAGCGGAGGTCCCTGCTCAGGGTTTCAGCTCTCAGGGATTCAGCCCGACTGTTGTCTGGTGGGAAGAAGCCAACAAAAAATGAGTGATTCTAAACTTGTGTGGTGTTTTATCCAGAAAATAGTGTTGGTTGTGACTTTCCTGGGACGCTGCCGCGGTGTGAGTTGGACAAGGCTGGAACAGGCTTCTTGGGAAAGCCACAGTGTGAAGAGAAGGCACCAACCCAGGCCGTGTCCCACCGTGATTCCTGCTTCTCATACCCTTCCCAGCGCGGGCAGGGGGTTACACAGGAGGCTCTTCCCTTTAAGAAGGGAATAATGAGACTTGCATTTCCACAAAAGGGGGTATCGGTGCTTCTCACTTTTAGGAGAATGGGGCAAATCTCTGCAAATCTGTGGGTGACTCAGAGGAGTCGGGTAGTCCTTTGGTGGACAGGGAAGGTCTGCTTTATTTTCCCTGTACTCATCCTTCTTTTGCCTTTCTCTATTTTATTTTTTATTTAATTTTATTTCTTCAGCACTGCTTTGTTAAATGCACTTGCTTATTGATATTTCTTTTGCCATCCGTATATTTTGTTTTCCCACCACAGATTTATTTTTTTCTTATTCTAATATTCATAGAATCATAGAATGGTTTGGGTTGGAAGGGACCTTAAAGATCATCGAGTTCCCACCCCCTGCCCTGGGCAGGGACACCTCCCACCACACCAGGTTGCTCCAAGCCCCCTCCAACCTGCCCTTGAACCCCTCCAGGGATGGGGCAGCCACAGCTTCTCTGGCCAACCTGGGCCAGGCTCTCACCACCCTCACACCAAACAAGTTCTTCCCCACATCTCACATAAATCTCCCCTTTTTCAGCTTAAAACCCTTCCCCCTCCTCCTAGGGCTCCCCTCCCTCATCCAGAGTCCCTCCCCATCTCTCCTGGAGCCCCTTGAGGGACTGGAAGGGGCTCCAAGGTCTCCCTGGAGCCTTCTCTTCTCCAGGCTGAACCCCTCTACTCTCTCAGCCTGTCCTCACAGCACATTCATCTGAAAAGCCTGTGTACCCAGATTGCCACTTCTAAAAATTCCCTGCTTTTGCTTTGTGGGATGATGAGCACAAAGCTTTTAATGTGCCAAATGGCAGTTACTTAACAGTCCAAAAAAACAACCCCATAAACCCCAAACCAAAACCCACACCTTTTTGTTTTGTTGGAACGGTAAGACCTTATTCCATGTCTAAATACTGGAGTCATCATGGGGTTTGCAAATTATATAATTTCTTGAGATGCTTTGGCTTTCAGTAAAAAACTTCACTCTTACATTACCCGTGTGTCATTGTGTTCCCAGCGCTGCAATTGGGAATTTGAAGATGATCATTGGCCAGACTTATGGTTATTGTTGGTTTCCTTTGAAAAGAACAAAAGACAGGCGTGTGGCTCTGCCACTGAGTGATGCCGTGTCATCCAGCAGGAGATGTTGGGGAAGGAAAGCTTTGGCTGTTGGGAACCCACCTGGTGCTGTCTTTGGTGGGCACCCGTCGACGCCGTGTCATCCAGTGGGAGATGTTGGGGAAGGAAAGCTTTGGCTGTTGGGAACCCACCTGGTGCTGTCTTTGGTGGGCACCCGTGGTAGGGATGGGCCGAAGGGCACCGCAGTGACGTGGAAGGGTGCTGCTTCTGGTGGGGCTTGCTCAGGTGGTAAAATTTCCTTGCATCTTAGAGACTGTTGATTTCCCAAAACCCTGGTTGTTTCACCTTGATTTTTTCAGCTTGTGGGAGGAGCACTGAGGACCTGAGCTCTCCGGTGGAAGTTGAGAGCGAGCGTGGCATCCTGGAGAGGGAAGAACCAGCCTGGCAAGGATGAAGGTATCTCAACGTATGTAACGTTGGTCTTTCTTTCTCTTCACAGTTGGTAGGATTGAGCGTCTCCAATGGAAAGGACCAGCTCGTGGTCTTCCACACGAAAGACAACAAGGATCTCATTGTCTGTCTCTTCAGTAAGGAGCCCTCCAACGACAGCAGGATCGGAGAGCTGGTGGGCGTCCTGGCGAGCCACTTCAAGAGGTGAGTGCTGGGGATGGGTTTTGTTGACAGCTCAGCCTTGTGTGCCACATCACAACCTGCCCTGGAGTCGTTTGGTTGCCAGTCTTGGGCTTTGTCTGTCTTGCTTCACTGTGTTACTGGGATAACAGAACAAATTCTTACATATTTTGGACATGCTTTTTAGCCACAACACTTCACTTGCCCGTTCTGCCTCCCCTGTGTGTTTGTGAGAGCGCAGGTGTCTGGGGACAGATAGCACTGAAGATGCGTTTCGAGTGGGTCACAACGTCTCCTGAGTGCTTCTTACAGTGAACTCTTAAAATTAAGATACAGCCATTCGTTTCTCAAATTGCTCCCGCTGCCCCCAGCATCAGTAGGTGATTTATTGCTTGAGCTGTAAAATGTCATCTCTGTTTCCTGAAGATCGTCCGTCTCGTAAATCAATGTGCAAACGCTGCTTTATTGGTGAACTCAATCCTGAGGTGGTTCTCTCGCATTGAGCTTCTTGTAGCTCCAGCTGAACTGGCAATAATCACCTTTATACCAAAGTTTGGGACCATCCAGAGCAGCAGTGACTGCAGTGTGGGCAGTGACACACCAGTGACTCTGGAGAAATGGTGTAGGGGGTGACCAGACCTTCAGAGTCGTTCCCCTGTGCCTCCAGGACAGGTTCTCAAGAGGGTTGATGTCCATCAGCATCATGTGCAGCATTGGCATTTGCCATTCACAGCATCATGGTCCATTTGTGACCCATAAAGAGGAATCTTTGTAGGTAAATGCTCACACAGGGGCAGGACAATGGGGCTGAATTTAGGTTACATTAGGTCCCTGGATACTTTTTTTATGAATTCCAGAAGAACATGCTGGTGTAGCCACTTCTCACACTGCTGGAGGTGGGTGCCAAGTTCCTGTGGAATGAATTCTCAGCATCGACGTAACTTGGTTTGGGAAATTCAGTGCTGAAAAGCAACAGAAAACATATTCTGTTTTTGCTTTCACCTCAGTATAGTTTCTTTTCAAAGGCAGCTTATTCTCGAAGGCTGGGGAGATCATGGAGATGGTAAAGGAACACGCTTCATTTCGGGAACCCTGTGAAGTAGCTGGAGTTCTTTCATGTCTGGCGTGTTTTGAACACAGGTGACATCTTCTTCAGACAGCTGACAGGTCCCACTGCCGTAACGAGCCTCTGATGCTGGGAGGAGCTGGGAAATGGTTGATTACACTCCAGCTCCTGTACGTTCGGGGTTCGAACCGCCCTGGTTTCTGTTCCTTTTGCTCGGACCCGGCCTTTTTCTCCCGTATCCAGGATAGCGCCGGGGGGGGACACGTGGGCTTCATTTTAAGAAAGTCTGTTGTGTGGCCATCAGTCTGAAACACTGCACTTTTCACATAAAGCTATAAAGTCTTGATTTTCAATTTCTTGCACTGATTTTGACAATGACATTTTCAGCTTTAAAAAGAATTCGTTTTTATCTAATCACTGTCTGTAGAAGAATGACAGTTAAATACGCTTTTATGCTGTTTCATCTTCACTCGAAACAATATTATGAGTGCATTTTTTACTGCTTCAGATGATGAATCTCAGCACAGCGTGTTCAATGGGGGAACTGGGCTAAAAGCCCCTTTTTCTCCCCAGTAAGAGTTACTGGTTTAACGGTGATGTAGGGGAACTGCTCACCTTTAATTCTCCAGATACCCAGGTGTCGTGGGTCAAAGCAATATGGTTCATAGTCAAAGCAGCAGCGTGTAAATCAAAACGAGAGGAAATATTTTCCGCCACTTTCAGTTTTTGAAGAGTAAAAACACCCCATTGGTGAATGGGATTAGTGGACACTTTGGGAATTCCTCGTTAATGGGATTAGCTGAGTCCCCGTGTGTGTGTCGGGTTCTCTCTCCCCCCTGTCAGGAGGAGGTTGCTCTGAAAAGAAAGAGGGTCCAGCCCTAAAACCCTGAGCCCGAGAGTTCGTTCGTTGGGTGATGACCCTGTAACGGGGCTGCAGGGCCCTGCGCCGCCCGAATCCTTGGTCACTGGGGACTCAGAACATACAGAGGGGTTTCCAGTCATCCCAGCATCACTCCCAAACCCTTACTGGGAGCTGTTAGCAGGGGGAGGTGACACGGCTGCCCTTGGGGATGTGGAGTGTAACAGGGAACGGTACTCACATACTTGTGTGATGAAATCCTGTCAAATTCTCTGCTGTATTAGTCAGTAGGAGAGATGAGGAGGAGGAGGCTGGTGGTGACATCTGTGCTGAGGATGCCTAAACCTTCTAATTCATGGAATCACAGAATGGTTGGGGTTGGAAGGGACCTCTGGAGGCCATCCAGTCCAAGCCCCTGCCAGAGCAGGTCCACCCAGAGCAGGTCCCACAGGAACGTGTCCAGGTGGGTTTGAATGTCTCCAGAGAAGGAGACTCCACCACCTCTCTGGGCAGCCTCTGCCAGGAAAGAAGATCCTCCTCATGTTTAGATGGAGCTTCTTATGTTCCAGTTTGTGCCCGTTGCCCCTTGTCCTGTCACTGGGCACCACTGAGAAGAGTCTGGCCCCATCCTACTGACACCCACCCTTTAGCTATTGCTCAGCATCAATGAGGTCCCCTCTCAGTCTGCTCTTCTCCAGCTGAACAGCCCCAGGTCCCTCAGCCTTTCCTCAGCAGAGAGATGCTCCAGCCCCTTGATCACGAGGCTCTCTCGTGCTGCTGGGTAGGAGTAGGGGATCGAGGCTCTCTCGTGCTGCTGGGTAGGAGTAGGGGATGTCCTGACGTGATGAGGGTGGCACATTGATCTCAGTGTTGGTTGCCGAAGCACTTGGTTACAGTGGAAGGGACACAGCTCTCAGAAGCTGTAGATGTGGCCATAGTGTCCCCTCACGTGTTGGAGCCCATGGTCAGGAGAAAGGGACCTGAGGAGCTCTTGGAGGAGGGAGGATTATCAGCCAGGAAGGGACTTATCCTTCCCATCTCTTACGCTCACATTTCTTCATGGTCCTTAAACCTCCAGAAGATGCCTCAGCTGCTCAGTCCAACATGCAGAGGACTCTTTCTGGATGCACTTCATGGCTGCTTCACCGGAGAAGACCTGATTGTAGGCAGTTTCCAAAGCACTAATTGCTTTAACTCTCACCCTCTTGTTACTCTCATGCGTGTGTCCCCTCCCGTGTCCAGCACGGCCTGCAGCGTGAGCTGAACACCGTGGGTGGAGAAGGCAGCTCAGATGCCACCACCGAAGGTGACCGAGACCCATCCTTTGTCCCCAGGCGTTGTGCTCTGCTCTGCAGCACACCCTGACTTAAGGAAGGTATTTTTTGTGTCTGTTAGAACCCATGGGATGTTCTGTCTGACTGACCCAGGCTGCTCATGTGGCTGTGGATCAGTGACTGGCTCTGGGTGATGACTTCTGTCCCCCTGGTCCCCACGGTGTCTGCCACCGCCGGCGCTGAGCTCCTTCCAGCACTGCTGAAGGGAAGGGGGAGTGAAAAGAACCGTAAAAAGCAATCCCTGCAGAACTGCAGCAGAAAATCACTTGCCTAAGGATAATTTTGTATTTTCCGTTGCGCTTTGAGACCTGTCAGCCAATTTTAATCATTAGCGTGCACTGGATTAATTTGCTTTAGTTCTGGGTTCTTGGCCTGGCGTGCCTTCGGGCCCTGGCACCCAGCAGTAATTCATAAAAATGGATCTCAGCTCCCCGGATGGGCTGGAGGCTCCGTTAGAGCTCGTTCCTCACTTCTTCTCCCATGCAGGGTCCCTTTGGCTTCCCACCCGGGGGTCCTTGGCAGGATCCTGTCCCTCAGCTTTAATCAGGGAATCATAGAATCACAGCATGGTTAGAGGTGGAAGGGACCTTAAAGATCATCGAGTTCCCACCCCCTGCCCTGGGCAGGGACACCTCCCACCACACCAGGTTGCTCCAAGCCCCCTCCAACCTGCCCTTGAACCCCTCCAGGGATGGGGCAGCCACAGCTTCTCGGGGCAACCTGGGCCAGGCTCTCACCACCCTCACACCAAACAAGTTCTTCCTAATATCTAATCTCAATCTCCCCTCTTCCAATTTAAAACCATTATCCCTTGTCCTGTCACTGCACTCCCTGACCAAGAGTCCCTCCCCAGCTCTCCTGGAGCTCCCTTCAGATATTGGAAGGGGCTCGAAGGTCTCCCCGGAGCCTTCTCTTCTCCAGGCTGAACAACCCCAGCTCTCTCAGTCTGTCTCCATAGGGGAGGTGCTCCATCCCTCTGATCATCTTCATGCCCCTCCACTGGACCCGTTCCAACAGGTCCATGTCCCTCCTGTGCTGAGGACTCCAGAGCTGGACACAGAGCTCCAGGTGGGGTCTCACAGGCGCAGAGCAGAGGGGCAGAATCACCCCCCACAACCTGCTGGCCACACTTCTCTTGATGCAGCCCAGGACACGGTTGGCTCTCTGGGCTGCCAGTGCCCACTGCTGGCTCCTGTTGAGCTTCTCACCCACCAACACCCCCAAGTCCTTCTCCTCAGGGCTGCTCTCCAGCCATTCTCCACCCAACCTGGATTTGTGCCTGGGGTTGCCACGTCCCAGGTGCAGGACCCTGCCCTTGGCTTGGTTGAACTTGGTTTGCAGGAGCCCAGCTCTGCAGCCCGTGCAGGTCCCTCTGGATGCCATCCCTTCCCTCCAGCGTGTCGACCGACCACCCAGCTCAGTGTCATCAGCAAACTTGCTGAGGGTGCACTCTGTCCCACTGTCCATGTCTCCAACAAAGATGTTGAACAGCACTGGTCCCAGTGTGTTTATATATGTAATATACATAAATATATACAATAAATATACAAAAATATGTGTACATACATATTTTTATATGTAACATACATAAATCTATACAAGAAATACACAAATATATGTATATACATATATTTATAGATGTATGGATGTGAAAATGGGAGAAAATGTATTTATGTGTTTATATATACATAGATGTAAAAATGCAGAAAGTATATGTATATACATATATACACATGTAATCCAGAATGTGTGTGTATGTATAATT